AAGTCAGGGCTGAATGACATTAGAGAATATTACTGTGATTTTTTTTATAAAATCTGAAAAAAGAACAATAAAGTACTGCAATTAAATAATGAAGAATCTTACTGATTTCCAGTCAGTTACAGTAATAAATCACACAAACTAAAGGGCAGAAATACAAAAAAAGATCCCCTGATTATGGCTCCGCCCCTCTAAACATAAACAACAATGATCTCTGCTGGGCGGTAGTCAGCCTATACTTGACACACCGGTAGTCGGGTCTTTAGCCATGCACTTGTCAGACACTGCCTTGTGACCATATCTGACTCTGTCCAGCATCGTCTTGTCTAAACCCAAATGAATACAACCGACTAAACTCCCTTCTGCTCTTTGGTGTTTGGTTCTGTCGATTGGTAGCAGATAGCATCAAAGCTTTAGTTGAAATTGTGGCGTTTGTATTGTTTACTTCATCTACTCTCATTCGCATACGTCACATGCAGCGTAGGGCCCAGGTGTTTCTGACCCTTTGGTTGGTTAAATTGTGTAGCATTCATATGAACAAAGCCTCGCGTTTGAAAATTGCGTTGTAATACATGGCAATGGTTTGATTTTGATTATTCGCTCAGCTTTAATTAGAGTATCTCTCTGAGTTTTAGACCCTCTTTTTAAACTCGTAAGCCTTTGAATACTCTTTCTAGGGGAAGGAAAGGAACACATTTAGGGGAGCTGGTGACATTTTTCTCCTCTCTACTTCCTCTCGGGCAACACGTGTCTGAGACTTGAGGCAGTTTATGAGAGATGAAAGGGCCTGTATTAATAATAAATTATGAATGGATAAATAATACATGAAAAGGAAAATCTAGGAAGCTGGCACTTCCAGGTGCAGCTACTACCATTACTTTAACTGTAACGACTGACAGATGACAACTCATAAAAGAGGATGAAAGTAATGTTATTGCCAGGAACAAACTCAGGTTAATGAGGTTAAAGTGTGTGTGTGTGTGTGTGTGCTTAAACTAACAGGGAATAAATAATATTAGAGTATTTTTTGAATAGCAGTAAAGATATTGATTTGGTATTCGCAGAAAATTAACTAGTGTGTGAAGTCAAATGCCGAAGCAGCGTGTAGTATTATCGTTCTAATGATTCTAAACATGTATTTTTTATGACTTTATATGTTATTTAAAGCTGGGTGATACCTGTGGAAATGATGGCTGACACTGAACAAGAAGCTGTAATGGTAACAGCAAAATTAGTGTTTAACATGCAACAGTCAACAAAACGAGATTTTGACATGTTCCCCTCCATCAGTCTAATCTAATCTAATATGTAGCCAACATAATCGTGACAAGCAAGTAGCATTGCAGCTTTTGCAGAAACGTTTGTGCATTGATTTTGTTCTACATCGTGTAGCCTATTCATAGCTCTGTGTTTAGAATCTACTCAGCCATTGAAACGCTTTGCATGCACTTCATCCACATGTTGAAAAACTGCATCAAGATCATCATAGAAATTAATGAGACTTTTTTTTTTTATAGCTATTGCAATTGTCATTTTTACAAAGTCAATCCAGAATATGCAAATATGAAATAATAGCATACTTATCGATTATGTGTCTCGTCAAAACATGTGTTCTCTACAAGATAAGCAGCCAAAAATAAACCAGTTAAACCATTTTGCACTTTGATCTTAATCAAGCAGATGTGAAGTGAAGTGTCGTAGATTCAGACAGCTGTATTTAAAAAAAATAAATGTTTCCAAAGAAATTGTTCAGTTTTACGAGAACAGTTGTTCTCAGAAGAAGAGAATATGTTTTAAGCATTGCATTAATCATTTCTCTCTCCCCGATCCAACTGCCTATTTTCTAATCACCCTTTGAGGCACATCTGTAATAACGGCTGTCGAGTGGAAAAGCTATTAAAATCAATTTACAATCCTGTATCGCAGCAGCGAGAGAGAGAGAGAGAAAGGCACAGTCAGACAGAGAAGAAGAAAAAGAGCCCCAAATGGTCCATGGATGGCATGAACAAAAGAGGTGCTTAAAAGGAAATTAGTCAATGCGAAGGAGGTGTTAGAAGTAACCACCTTCTCATAGCTGATGCTGCTTTAACGCTTGCATGTACTTGGTCTCAGTAGAGAAATATCTGATGTCTTGTTGGCCAAGTTTCTGAGGGAACATTTTCCTGAACCCATGTCACTTGGGTTTCACTCTTGCCCCGCCCCTTTAAGAGACCATCAGCAGGTCCTAAGGCTATTCACTCCAATGGGAGAAATGAACGATTGTACAGATTAGGACCAATTCTTTCGCTCCAAAGGAAATATTAGACCCTATTTTCACAAGCCACATACATTTTGAACATTCTTAGACTAAAATGGCATTTTCTTTGTTCGACACACCGATATCTCTTCTCTCTGTTGGCATTGAACCGTCAGTCTGGTGACATCACAGCATTACTAGTCTAACATTAGCGAAACTGTGTCAAAATGTCAAGCTCACGTTCTCAAACGACCTAGCTGACTAATTGTTGTAATGCTTGATATGGCTAGAAATATTTATTATTAGCAAAAGAAAATATAATTACATTAGGCCGCGCCCACTTAGGAGACAGGAAGTGTATACCGTTTGATACTATTGGCGTAGCTTGTACTGCGTCATCTTTTATTAGGCAAATCATGACGCATCACATCTGTTATTTACTTGTCATACATCTTTGGTGGATCTTAACTTCTAGCAGTGCGATCAATATGAGGGAGGGTGTCTGTGTGTGTGTGTGTGTGAGAGAGAGAGAGCATGAGACAGAGATGACCTCTGCTGTGCCCTTGTTGATGTAAGTAACACTGTAGCAGTCAAAGCGGTCGAAATCCAAACCATTGGTTCCCCAGCCAGCCGGTGACACCCTGTCCCCTTTGTGTGTGAGTGTACCTGTGTGTATGTGTGTGTGAATGTGTGTGACATCTAACAAGGTCTTTTAATATTTAAACGTCGCTAATAGCTGCAATACTCTCTCATTTTCAGTTGGTTTCTAATCATTTATCTCCTAGGTTAAAATGTCATAATAATAATAATAATAATAATAATAAAAATGCATGACAATACATTAGTCCCTTTCCAAATCCAACCCCTGCTTCTCCCATTGTGTGTGTTTACTGATAAAACATCAGCCTGAACTCTCACAACAGCAGCTTTGCATTTAGTCTGGAGACACCTGAAGTAAACCCACACTTAAAATATGAATACTAGGTTTCATGACGTGTTCAAGCTTCTGTGATGTACGAAGACTTTGTCAATGGACAGATTCACACAAGCAGTCAAAAAAGGGTGTGGTGGAATCAGTGCAAGTAGAGACTCCTACTGATGTTCTATAGAATTACTGTCACGAAAATGGAGGCGACGCTGCCACAAAATGAGCTTTAGTGTCTTGAAGGCTTCCATCTGAATATTTTATTTGAGTATAACTGACTTTGGCATTTATTGAATCATAATATCCAGAATGTCCAAGCCTCTTAGATGTCAAATTAAATAAAAACAGTAACAGATAGTGGAGGTCGACATAGAGGCGATAGCGGCCGATATAATAACAGGAAAAAAGCTGATAGCCCGAAAAAGACTCTACTCTACTACGGCATACATCACTGCAAGCCTCATTTCAACACTCTAATTCATAAGACAAAATAACTGCAGTAATCACAGTGTTTGAAAATATTCATACTTCATTGCTACTGTTTTCATTTACCATGATCCAAAACGTACCTATTACACAGTAAAATATCTCTGTATTTTTTGAGGACATAAACTGAGCAGAGACTAATATTTCATAATTTCATGTGGTCAGAAAGATGGAAAAAGAACTTCCTCCATGTCAAAGTGTAGATGCAGGAATAGGTGGGTGTTTCCTGCATTAGAGATATGAAAGTAGCTTTGGGCCACACTGCAGACTTCAAAGGAAGGATGTGCAGGGAGGAAATGAGCCAGCCGCACTGGCAGCATGAGAAACCGAGGGGCACCTGTGCATTTGCATGAATTTCTTTATGTTAACTTTTTTTTTGCTAAACGCCACACATGCATGCAAATGTGTATGCACACTTGTTTAAATGGGTTTGTGTAGTGCGTGTACCCTGTTGATGAAACTATGAAATGACCCTGCTTTTACATATTTCTGAAGTCTTCATGAGCTTGAGTAACCCTCAGGAAAAAATGTATATTTTAGTAGCACGCCCGGTAAACCTCTACGAAAATCATTTCTATGTTGTCCATTGGCTTGAAATCAGAAAGTTCCAGATGATCACATGGTGCTATAATCAACCTTAAACATCTTAAAACAGCAAAATCAACTGAAATATGAAGCGTCCTGGTGATTTAGTGGCTGCGACTAAGGAGTTGAAGCAGGTCGTCCACTAATCGGAAGATGGGCTGTTTGATCCCCAGCTCCCCCAGTCCGCATGTTGAAGTGTCCTTGAGCAAGATATTGAACCCCAAGTCGCTCCCAAAGACTGTGCCTTCAGTGTGTGTGTGTGAGTGTGTGTGTGAATGATTAGACTAGAACCTGATGAGCAAGAAGCACCTTGTATGGCAGCCTCTCCAACAGGATGAATGTTGACATGTAAAGCATGTCTATTCACACAAGTCCAGTCGGCAAGATGCATACCAAATGACTGCAATAACATCGTCTCTGTATCCTCACTGTCAAAGTATCCAATAAAACAGAAAATGCCAAAATAAATAGATAAGTAAACATCTACTAAAACAACACTGCCCAACAAAAGTTGAAGTCAGAAAAAAAACTAATTTTGACATTAGTTAACAATCAAAAGCACATGACGTAGAGACTTCCTGATGAGGACACTAGGTACAGATGTATTAACTAAGGACATTCGTGCATGTCAGGGTTAAGTGTGTGAGGGTAAGGAAAGGATATATGCTGTGTGTTTTGTGTCTTGGATAAAAAAATAAGTGCATAAAAATGGGATATCCCAATAGATTTGCTGTCGGCTTGCTGTGGTTGTCTCCAGCTGTCTGAACTCACCTCGCTGCAGAGAGCAGATGGATGTGAGTCGAAGGAGGGCTGAGCCGTGGAGCTGGAAGTCGTTCTATGTTGCAGCCTGACACCGTGACTGCCTCCGGCACAGTCAAAGTTACTCTTCCACACCATTACCTGTTCATTACACAATAATACACCAAAGTCAAATTACCAATAATCTAATATACAAAGAATGAAAAAAAAAAAAGTTCTTTCATAAACTGGATTATTTTATAAGCATGCAAATGGATAAGGACTTTAAGGATGTGTTGTTTGATTTAAGTCTGTTACTTGTTTCTTTTATGTGTGAAATTGTGATGCTGCCGTCTTGGCCAGGATCCCCTTAGAGAAGAGATATTAAATCCCAAGGGGCCCATCTTGGGTAAATAAAGGTTAAATAAAATAAAACATTAAATTAAACTGTCAATATACTCATCAATATCACTGTCAGTGGTCACATAATATAGCCAGTCAATGGAAAATATCGATTCAACGTTTTAGGATCAGTTAGCAGACCACGTCCTCACCTGTTCATCAGAACCTCCAGAGGCAAAGTACTCCCCTGTCCCGGAGAAAGCAACACTGGTCACTGGACCCTGGAGCGGAGGCAAAGATATGGAGGTGACCATACGGTATGATCATATCATCATAGCCTTATCTTTATCACAAAGAGAAGCATCCTGAAACTATTAGCTGCAAACTGTTTATTCAAGTTGAAAAGAAAAGCAATGGTATTGTTGCTACGTAACTTTTTGCTCCAAAAAATTGAAATATACATAAAGCACGGGCAGATCTATGCTGTAGTAATCTAGTGCACATCTCATGAAGCGAGCTAAAGCCATTAGTCAATCGAACAGAATCAATTAATCAGCTGCTAATGTGATGACTGCTTAATTATTCTTTGTTGTATGTGATCACAAACGGAACGTCTGTCGGTTTTGGACTCAAAACAATTAATAGATCAACAATACAAATAGTACAATTAACCAATAATATGAATATTTGTTAGTTGCAGCCGTAAAAAAAAAAAAAGAATGAAGCAATCCCTGTGAAAATTGTGTAGTCTGTGTGTTTCATTCAGCCCATTCATTCATTTTCAAACCCTACATATAGTACCTTTGGAATATATGAATAATTAAAAATGTTTCTTTTCTGCCAAGCAATATAGCTGCAGTGAAAGTGTAGGTGTTCATGTTAAATACGGGGGCAAGAAAACACGACAAAAATGAACAAAACACAAAAACACACACTTCTAAATATTACACACAGAGTGACGAGAAGAGAGCTGGAAAGGATTAAGCATTTCTGTTTAGGAAACCGTTCTCCTTTGTCTTTATGCTCAGTCAGAGCTGAAGCTCTTGCATGTGTGTGAGTTTGTGTAGAAGGGGGGGGGGGGGGGGGTGGAGATGTGGCAGAGCAATTATAACAGGAAGCAGAGACCCAGGTGAGGTGAGGTCACACATGGTTGGAGCCAAAAAAGGATCACCTGCTGATGTCAGGACTTTGACATGACACGTGAGAGTGTGTGTGTGTGTGTGTGTGTGTGTATGTGTGTGTGTGTGTGTGAGATTGTATGAACCTGGAGCGCAGACTGAATCCAGCTTGAAAAAGTCAGAAATCACGCTCAGGCTTTTTCTTTCTTTCTTTTCTCTACCTCACAATTCAAAATGGGGTGAATGATGGCAGCCTGAGCCCTCTGACTGTGTTCAAAGACAGGATGAAGGAGAGAACAAACAAAAGAAGGGGAAAGACACCGACAGGGAGGCTGCTGGGAAGAAAATGGGAGCTGTGTGTCCTGTGCCTGGCACCCAGACAGGCTGGTTTGGGTGAGGAATGGTTTCACAGAAGCACCTGAGAGAAGCAGACAGTTGTCTCTATGGCAACGCGACAGTCTGACAGACAGCATGTTCTGTCTGTGCTCTCTGACTAATGCCTGCTGCCAGGCTGGCACATGCCATGTCCAGACAGAGAGATAGAGAGAGAGAGAGAGAGAGCGCAAATTCTGCCCTTTTCTGCCCCTATACACACATATTACACTCAGTAGCATATTAAAGGTTCTATATTAAATATTCAGGGCATTAATATTGCAGCAAACAGCTATTTGCTGTGTAACGATATACTGGAGTAATGTCTACGTTAGCAGAGAATGAAGTCACTCTCCCTCTATGTGTGTAGCGTGTAGTGCATGTTAGTGCATGTGATCATGCCCCAGTGGCTAGCTCACGACAGCGGCTCTGCACTGCTTTCTTGCGGCGGTAATAGCCAATCACACAGGTAAACACTGTTAGCTCTGTCAGCACTGTTGTTGTTGTTGTTGTTTGCACCGTTAGCTTCTAGCCATGTTAAGAGCTGTTGAGAGGCAATAGATATGGTCAATTTTAAGATCCTAACCAATAAAATCTTATCATAGATTCTCTTTGCCATACTTACTTTCACCTGACATGTCCCACCCTATAACCAGCTTGAAGCAGGAGTACATATAAATATGTCAAAACTGAAGCACGTAATCTCTTTCGCAGGGTCTTTCAAAGCTAAAGTGTAGTTGAGGACTTTTTACATGAAAACGTTTTGGATCATACTGTCAGTTGTCAGTTGTCAGACAGCGGAGCAGAGAGAGAAATTAACCTAAATTAGGCTGATTCTACCCAGCCAGGTAAGCAGGTAACCCCTGAGGCAAGGTAAACAACACATTTGACGGATCCAACAGAAGAAAAAAAAACACTCCCTCAGAGCCTCAGAGTGTTTTCACATACAGTTCACGCACATACAAAGACAAGCAGACACATAAACACAACCTACACACCAACACCGAACAGATGGGGGTCTCTCCCATTTTCAAGCTTTGGGACTGGAGGGACCATTAACACCCTGAGAGCTCCCAGCACCAAAGGATTGGCGAAGAACAACAACAGAAATGGAGATGACAAATTTCGAGGTGTGAAGCGAGGAGGGGGGAAAAGTGCTTTTTTCATCTTGACAAAGAGAAGAGTCTTGGCAAGGGGTTGAAGAGAAGCATGGGTGAAACAGAGAAAAAAAGAGAGAGAAATGAGAGACAGGCAACCTGTACAGAGGGATAGATAAACAGACGGACCACATGTGGTATTGGCAAGCCACTGATTTCCATAACTAGCCAGCAGGCCAGTCCATCAGCTGTTCAGATACAGTCAGTGAGCCGTCCGGCCAGCCAACATGCGAGTACATGAGCGGTGGGAGCTAATAGAGGAGGACAAGGGAGGAAAATTAGGATCACAATGATGGCGGCTATACTATAACATCGCCAGAACACACGGAGAGGAGTGTGTAAGTTAGAGAAACAGCATGGGATGGAAACAAGAGAGGAGGAGAAAGAGAAGAAGAAGAGGAGGAGAGGATCCTGAGGAACAGAGGCAGGAACACAGTTCTGTTTCCTTCCAACAACCCTGAGATGAGTCATCATGAGTGGGCTGCCCGCTCGCCTGTACTAAAATACACCATATACAAAACAAAAAGGCCTCATATGCACACTCTCACACACTTTACAGAATCCAACATGCACAAAGGAGAGGACAAACACACACATACCTGTCCACACCAAACACACACACTGAGGAGCAGCAGAGCAGACTACAGACACAAACTATCATGAAGATGACTGGGTTATAACTGCACAGTTTGATATCCGAGTATGATATCTGAACTGTGCGTGTGTGTGTGTGTGTCTACCTGGTGTCCGTGCAGTGTATACAGTAGCTTGCCCTCTACAAGGTCCAGTATTTTCATCGTGGAATCGCTGGACGCAGTTATGAGGAAATTACCAGCCGGGTGGAAAGACAAGCTGTTCACCACACCACTGTGGGCTGGAACACACACACAAACTTTATGACAGGACCAGAATAGACATTCTGTTACTCTGAACTAACTGCGTGTGCTTGTGTGCGATGTTCAACTGCCTCTTAAATAGCATGGAATTATTCAACATTATGATTTAAATGATGATGACAATAACAATGACTTTGATGCAATTTAAAGAAATGTAACTTTTGAGAATGATCTATGTTATGAATATTAAATATTACCAAAATCGCTGTTAGTCAAAGTTAATAGTTTCCTTTCCCATACCCCTCGAAAATTAGATGCCAGACGACAATGCCAGTTGTATACCAGCACCTATGCGGCATTCAAGAGTTCAGAGTCTTGCTCAAGGGCACTTCAGCAGGCCAGATGCTTGCTGATAAGGTTGCCTGGACCCCACTGAAGTGCACTGCTGCTGTACATCACAGCGCCTCAGTTGCTGTGTAACTTGAGAATGGCTTAACATCAGGTTTAGAGGAGTACGTATCAATACGACGAGTATAGCAGCCCATAGCAGCTAATCAAAACTGCCCCGGACCTGAAATGAATGGAAACAGGACAGCAAGACATTCAACGAGCCACGTGGTCCCTCTGCTGGCTGCAAGATGCTATGACATATGTTATATGCTCTCATACCTCTAGCTGCAAAAGGTATGCTGAGAGGCTGCATCAAACTATACTGGGAGCAGGGGGATGTACTATTTGGTTATGTCTTAGGTTCATACAAGGATAGTGAGCAAGGTAAACACCCCTAATTAAATCAAAGCCAGCTAAATGAATCACCTAATGACTAAAATACACAACTAATCCTGGGTATCCAACAGTAACCACACCACATTTTAACCACAATTTCACACTTCAGGCTGGCACAGTTGGTGATTTACATTACGTAAAGTGAAGCCCTGTAGAAAGTGGAAGACATGAGAGGAGAGGAAAAGCTTTTATCTTCATGCCCAGTCTCCTCAGACAGATGTGATTATCCATTATTAGATCTCACAACTCAAATCCATTTAAGAGAGCTGATTAGAACAATCAGACCGAGAGGCAGACTGACAAAAGGCATCAACATTTGGCTTATTGAATATGCAGTCTCTTGATTAGCACTTTAATCGGGAGCTTTAAAGCTTAATTTTATCTTGGTGTTATTTCCGGCACAGTGTTTAAAGGTGAGGCTTTACTTTAGCTGGGTGGGAGTGGATGACAATACTCTGACTTTTTGCCATATAAGGTCAAGACATTTTTCTCCCAAACACAAACACTGGGCTATCTTTTTGGAAGTGCTTTTACTGTATTAGGGATCCAGTATATTATAAAAGTATGTAAAACTCACCTGTGTTGTAAAACTTATATTAATATAATATCAATAAGGCATGAAAAGTGGCTAAACTGAGTGTTTTAAGGTTTAAAAAAAATGTAGTAAATGCTTCCATTAATGTGTATTAAATTAATTAATGACTTTGCATTAAAGATATGAATATATAGCGATTGAATTCAAATTGTGGTTTTGCTGTAGCAATTCAGCATAATGTTCAAATGGCATCGTTATAAACCAGACACTTCCTTTAACTGTCTTTACCTTGGTAGTGCTGCAGCATCTTATGTGATCTGATGTCCCACACCTTCACAGAGTTGTCAGTACTGGCTGCAGCGATGCATGTTCCACTGGGATGGAAGTCCACATGGTTCGCATAACTTGGGAGAAAGAAAACAAGACATTTAATGAAATTAGGTCTTTGGCCAAGCTCTAACAGTACATGAAATTAATTAATCCAGCAGGTTAATTTAACTAACTGTAAACATTTGATCTAAAATATTACTTGGAAACACCCACCTGAGATGTTTGCTGCTCTTAAAATATTTCAAAACAATTCAAAACACTTCAAACACAAGTCTGTGATGAATGAGTGGATGTTCAGTGCCTTGGTTTACAGTGATTGAGACAGAATACATTGAACCTGCAGCCTTTTACAATTGTTGTTACTGAAACAACAGTGTAAATGTAAGCCAAAAAAAAATAAAAAATATGCTTAGTAAATAATGCTCTAAAGTCTAAACACTCAACATTTAAAAAACATACCAGGAGAAACACTGACAAAAATAATGGATTCATTTGGTTTACTCACTGCAATTGTTTCGCAGACACATCACAACATTTCTTATCCACAAACTTTTTCTTTTTTTTTGGTTTTAATTGCTCACCCAGCATGTTCATAGAACGAATGAATACACTCTCTGCTATTCTTGTCCCACAGCTTTATAGTCTTATCATCACTGGACGACACAATCAAACGATCATCTGGAGAAAATCTGCAAAAGATTTATTAAAAATTATAGATTATCTACGTCTTCAGCTTCAGCTTTTTACAAGTGACATGTATTCATCAAAGTTGTGAAACAATGAAATGTATGGAATCTATCTACAGTATATGTACATACAACAATAGAAATAACTGCAGCAGCCAGTAATATCTAACAACTGTATGCTTTTGTGTGTGTGTGTGTGTGTGTGTGTGTGTGTGTGTGTGTGTGTGTGTGCGCGCGTCGTACTTGGCACAGCGGACCCAGTTCATGTGCTGCTTGAGAGAGAAGAGGAACTTTTGCCTGTGGACGGTCCACACTTTGATGGTCTTGTCGTCAGAGGCTGTGACCAGATTCTGTCCATCACCAGAAAAGCTAACGCTGCGCACGGTGGCCGTGTGAGCCCTGAAAGCTGTTGACTCAGCCTTCCTGTACACACCCACAAACACCGAGACAACGTTTTTAACAAATTACCAAAAACAAGTGGGTGCTCTGAAATGTGTGCCTTCTTCTGTGTTGGCAAAAGCAGGAGATTCAGTACAACTGTCTAGTTTTGCTGCTTTTATGAGTCAGCGCCATTGTCCTTTGTGAAAGCTTTCCAGTGCAGAACAATAATAATGAGAAAGGATAGATATGTAATCAAAACGATAAGGTAATACTTCCAAACTCACATGCTGGGCACCCAAAGACGAACAGTCTTGTCTCTGGAGGCAGAGGCCACCAGGTGGCCAGAGGGAGAGAACTGAACAGAAGTGACAGCGTCTTTGTGTCCATCAAAGCGATATGCTCGCATCTGAGGTTTCATGTTCCAGATCATCACAGAGGAGTCCATCGAGCCTGTGGCTGGGAGAGGAAGGGAGCACAGGAGCGTGAACTGAGCACATTGTGTAGAAATCATACCATGCGGACAATAAAACAAAAAGAAAACAGCAAGCAGGTGCAGCTAATGATCTGGCCACAGACAAAGAGTAAAATGAAGTAGCAGTTACCAATCTGTTTCATGTTGCAGCTCAAGTCCACACTCGTAACTTTGTCCCTGTGGCCCTTGAAATGTCTTTCTAGAGTTGGATCCGACTAGATGGAGAACAGAGAGACAGGTTGCAGCAGCCACATATTAAAAACTTGTTTCACAGTATTTCTCAATAGCATTAGATAGTCGTGGCTAAATAAGCAACAATCAAAGTTGAATCTGTGTGGGTGTGTGACATGATTGGCAGTGGCCTGAAAATGTAAGCAAACAATCCTGTTATTGTCATCCATAGCTCAAAACCGATTACATTCTCTGCAATGTGTTTAGAGTTTACACTGTTTTCAATACAGCTTGTAGGCAAGTCAAGCAGTAAAATAATGACAATCAAAACAATTAAACAATAAAAATGCTACTGAGAATTTAGCTCCATACATTATGTCGCCAAAAGTATGAAAGCGTTTGTTCACTCAAACACAGGGCTTTTTCACTAAAGTATTTTAGCATGTCACAGAAGGAAAAAGCAGAGCTTGAATGATGGCTGGAGCTCACTGTTAAACTGCCATGACATACTGGGACACTTGAAAAGCACGAGTTATTGCAAATGGTATTAATAATACCAGTGCTTTTCATTTTATAGCAATGTGATGAAGGCCCATTACTTCCATATTTGATGTAAGATAAAACTGTTTTCATCCCGAGGGAAATTGTAATGCTCGATGAGTTTGATTGCTGCAGGAAGAAAGGATTTCCGGTGCAGTTCTGTGGTTTATCATATATTGCAAAGGTTCCACAATATTTTGAAGTTATTGATGAAAAACAGTCACAAAACAAAAAAAAACTAAAAAATAGTTTAAACCACATAGTGCATTTTCTGCCACAAAATATAGACGTACTACTGCCGTGGGGTGGCGCTGTTTCACTGCGTCACTTGTTTCTCGACTCCACCAACACCAACAAATTAACCCTCGTTTTGAGACTTGTGGTGAAGTTCAATTCAGTCGTCTTCACTGGTTTATTATGCTGAATTAACACGTAACGATGTCTTATTCTCTCCAATTCACATATGTTAGTTCATAAACGATGCCAAACTAGGAAGCACGGCAGACGTAATAGCCACTATAGTAGGCCCTCCGTTTGTCCTGCCAGGCAGCAGTTATCAAATTTGTGACGGCACAATAAATTAGCTATAGTAAAATTAGCTATATATCTGGTATGGAGTTGCAAAAATTATACAATTTTTTTTGCAAATGTTGGACTTGATGTGTCTAAATGCCATTTAAGAACGCATGACATGGTGACATTGTAACAGGAAGTGCTGCCTGAGAAACTTATTCAGGGCGAAAAACTCCCGCGTTTGCAGGAGGCTCAGTTACCAAGGAGACGAGAGCTGTGGCGCTAGTCTCTGCTAGCCGTTAAGCTAGCGGTTAAACTCCGAGAACGACTAGAAAGGGCTATCGTGCTGCATGTGTATGTGTAAGGGGACATTGGTATCATGGCGGAGCTCCACATTATCGGCCAGATTGTTGGGGCTACTGGTTTCCCGCAGAACAGTCTATTTTGCAAATGGGGAGTCCACACGGGAGGAGCATGGCGTCTCCTGTCCGGGCTGAAGGAGGGTCAGACCCAGGTGGATGTCCCCCAAACAGGAGACACGGCGTACTGGAGTCACCCCATCGATCTGCACTACGCGACCAAGGGACTCCAGGGCTGGCCAAAGCTTCACCTCCAGGTGTGGCACCAGGACTCTTTCGGCCGCTGCGAGTTGTACGGTTACGGGTACTGCCACGTCCCGTCTAGCCCCGGACACCACCGGATAAACTGCGGGACCTGGAGGCCGCTCGGCTCCTGGCAGGAGCAGTTGGCACAAAAGTTTGTCGGCGGAGGACCGCAGCTCCGCAGCCCGGACCTCATCTACAGCGGGGCGGACAGATACAGGCTGCACACCGAGGCCATGGGGACGGTGGAGCTGGAGCTAGGCATCGTCATGAGACACTTTGACAAATATGGCGTCGAGAGTTAACTCTGTGACATAAAACAAGACTTTGGGGAGTTGAGAGGGATTTTATATTTTATATTCGTTTGTAGTTAAGTTTTTTTTACTTTTTCTAAATTGCGTTGGTGTTGTTTTTATATTAAACTAACGCTAGATATGTAAATAAATAAAGTATCGTCTTAACGAAGTTGGTTCCTTGTTGATATGTGATTATCCACTTTCTCCCAATGTTAGCTGAGATTAGCAGTGGTTGTAGTAAATGGATGCAGAGTAACCAGTTCATTCTCAATTATGGATCATATTTATCTTCATTATACATGATACATGGAACGTTCTTAACACGTATTTAAAATGTAATATTCAAATTGTCTGGTCCAAAACAAAGAAGTCCCGGGCCCCAGCAACACATCACACTACATAACTCATATTTAACTTTCTTTAATATTTGTGGATAAAAAAAAAAAAAAAACTGACCTTGATTGATGAGAAAACCTATTGCTTATGAGGCATCCAAAGTGGGTGAATTATTACCATGATAGGCTACTAATCAACGCATAAAATAGGAGCATCAGATGAGTTAAGTTGTGGCCAGCTATGAACATACAAGTCAGGCATGATCCAGGGTGTTATTAGAACTAAAGTGCACTATAGCTGTCAAAATATTTATGACAACTTGACTCAAGCTGCTGAATGTATTTACCAAGGTCTACATATGTCATCTACATGGGCATGCTAAATAACGTGCTCAACATCTGTGCTCATAGTTTAGCAGGAATAGTTTAATCTGCATTCAGGTATTGGGAACGTTCCAATGTGCAGTCACCTAACTAACACACTCTACAGAGAAGGAAGAACAAAAGCACTTCATAAAGCCACGCTTTCAACATATACCATCTCCCACTTCACTGCTCTATTCACGTTTTCATTAATTTCCCTACATCCCAAACTATGGGTGTTTGTCTGCTACAAAAGCAAAATTACTATAAAATCTGCAATTACAACCTTAATATGACACCTATAAAAACTCTCAGTAGTATTATTGAACATACAGACTAGTTGAATGTCATGATTACATGCTATGTTTATTACACTAGTGTGAAGGTATAGGTTGCAATGAAAGCGTGGCAGACAGCACAGTAATTCACTTAAAACACAAAACTACAGACTTATCATTTGTCACAGTATTTTTTGTTGTTGTTGCTAGAGTTGTGCTGTAGACCTGAACAGACTTGTAACGTACTGAATATCCTGAAAAAATACATTTGCACATCTGTGACATAATTCACTTTCATTCATTGACATATTTGGACCACAAATACATTAATCACAGCCTCCTCTAACTCAAAACAGTGTCTGAAATAAGTTTACGAGACATTTCACCCAGACCACATAACAACAGGGGTAACAGTACCCTCGTTTATGATCAACCCGTATGACAAGAAGTTCCCATATCATCTAAAAATGTCTCTTTATCGCTTCTATCGACTTTTACTAGTATACACAGCGACTGTGAAGCTACAAATGAGAAACCAACTTCAGCCATACAGCTAGCTTAACGTACACTTACCGGTGAAGAAGTCATCTTTCCTAATCTAACGAGAACGTTAGGAGACACACGGCCGGTGGATAGCGACCGTTACAACCGAAATGTGACTGAAGTCTACTTCTCTGTTGCGGTGAATGAGACAAACTAAAATGTGCAGTTAGCTCTTTGGTTAGTCCAACGTTAGCTTACAACTGTATTAGCTGGTAACTGGTAGTTGCTGACAACAACAAAGTTCAGTTTACGCGCCGCGATTGGGCGCTGAGCGTCCGGTCGGATTCCTTAAAGGGAAAGTTATACATTGACCGTTGATAACCTTTATGTGTAAAAGTAAAACGTCGAAGTCAGAGAGATAGTTTTGCATAAGTATAACGAATCTGAGCAATTAAGAGTTTATTATGATATTAATCCATGTAGATATTCGACTGAAAACTTTAATTTTTAATTGTAGTGACGCACCATTACCGCTAGGTGTCAGCAGTGTAGCACCGTTAGAAATCTACCATTCAGGCTCTAGTGATTGTGTTAAAGAAGTGGAAAATTGAGTTATATAGCAAATTCATTTTTTCCTTGAAAAGATATGAACATTGTCTCGAATTGAAACAGAAGTTTTTTTCATGCAATAAGAGAATATGTGATGGGCTTTAGCTATCACCCAGGCTGGTATTGATACTAAATACTAATACTACATTTGTACAAGGACTGTTAAAAACACATTTGAAGCACTTCAACTCCATTTCATTCCACGTTATACTTCCACACCACTAGAATGTCTGAGGGAAATGTACTTTTTTTACTCTATCACTGTTATCTGACAACCATTTAGTAGTTATTTCTAACATATGATGCACATCAAGCAGTTAAAAATGGCTCGCCCTGGCCAGGCTACAACATTAAAATGCTTCTTATGTGTTAATGAGTCAATAACAATAATATAACACTGAAAGTAGACATGCTTCATAATGTGTACTATTTTGATACTATTAGTACATGTTGCAAACTCTTCTGTGCTTTTACTTTGGCACAATTGTTAATGCAGGACTATTACTTGTAGTGGAGTATTTTTTTTAAGTAAAAATCTTTCTTCCACAACTGCTGTTAGAAAAATATATTCTGACAACAGTTCTCATGGTAATAAAGCAAGACCCACTGTAAGGCCCTTACTGTGTCAGTTCATATTGTGGTGCATATTCCCATATGTATAATTGCACAAATCAGTTGGAACACTTTTAAGCCTGGAGCTTTCGGGCTGCCTGGTTGGTAATAAAGTCTTGTGTAACACCTATGCGAAGGTATATCATACTGTCACCATAGTTAATCTCGCTAAATAAAGGTCAAATCAGGCCACCTTATCTGAAGTGTAATCTTGTTTGTTTTATTAGATATGGCCCGGCAATTAGAGACCTCTAAATATGTCATAATTTAGAATGAAATCAGCACACTGTATGCAGGTTGAAACAGTAAGCAAAACTGCATAGTCAGACAAAAACTGATGTAAGTATTCCAGTGTGTTATTTCAAGGATAATTCCATTATTATATAGTGCACTCTGTTGACCTATTCAATGTCAGAACAAGGCCTTTCATTAATCAAATCCCTTGTGGGTTGTTTCAAGTGGATGGTTGCCATGTCACATAGCCAACAATTCATACCACAAATACTTTGTATAAATTCCTTTCGTTACCTCATATGACTGTTTGTAATTATCTTGTTTTCATATCGTTTACACACCATGTAGTCATGTTTCTGTTTTAGGATGTATTCACAAAAACTGGCTGCTTTTCACCTGCTAGCACAAGAGCCAGTTATCTACAAAGTTAATGAAAGATTCAAAGAAGTTCGATACTTGCTTGGGGATACACGGACAGCTTTTAGCAGATGCTGTTATCAAAACGTATTTTCAAAACCTACTGAACCTTTTCAGATGAGGCTTTTGGTAAGCTTCATTTCTCTCCTTTTTTAAAGATATTTACTTCCTTTTACAAACCATATTGCGTGTGAGTCAAAGTCAAGCCTGTTTGTTGCACACTGAAGATGGAAATTCTTGTTCAACCCAATAGGAGCGTCAATAATTTTGCCAACATACTGTAATCTAATAAAAAGCAGGGCACACTTTTGATTAATTCAAATGGATTTCCAGAAGAAATACAGTACATAAGGAAACACATTTCACCTTCTGCCGGCCTCACTTCTATTTTGATGACAGTTAATTATACAACCTGCATGAGGCACACCGATGGGTTTATTGTCTTGTCAAGTTACAGTAATTCTAAACACGCTGCACCCTTTCTATGTACTGCAGTGTAAATCAAGACAGTGCAACCCATCAATAACATCATCATTTTAATGGTAAGACTTCTTATGTCTGATGATCGTTTCCAGTAGATGTTCAGGAGAAGGAAAGAGGAAGTAAAACAGACTGATGAACGGGAATCCTTTTAACCACAGCTACATAGCTGTGAAATGACTGTAGGGTTGTAATTAAATAACACACCACACACGCACACAAGGGGGAATCTCTTATTCAGAGCTTTACACACTTAAGCAGCAACAAAATATTCAAATCTCCCTGATTATCTTAAAAAGTCTAAAGTGTCTGTGCTCAGGGCCATTGTGCATTGTGTGTTTAAGGGAAGGAGGATATACTTACCTGAAAATAAATCTGGGCTTGGTCCACAGACACACCGTTTCCCTTCCAGTAAGAGGATGTTTTTGATGTTATTTCTTTTATCAGTAGGAGTCTTTGAGTAATATATGACGGCTGTTTAAACCTGCAAAGAGCTCTAATCTTATCTCTCTTGCTGTCAACTTTCACCAGGAGCCATGTGAGCTTCTGTCGTTGTATATGTTTGTCAAAAAGCATAAAGAATACTCTGTATTGTTGGGTAAAGAGCAGAGGTGGTACCAAGTCACAATGAGGTCTCAAGTCTTTGCACTCAAGTACTGACTCAAGCCCCGCGTCTTAAACTTTGAGTTTCGAGTCATAGACAAGTCATAATGCGCTCTTCAGCAAATGTCATGCCATTTTAACAACAGGGTAATGATATATTAAATTAGCAAAAATATGAAATATATATATATCGATTTCAGGTAATCATCTGTATAGGTGATCGTAGGGTTTGTCTGACCTGTGAGGGAAACCAAGTTTCAAAATGATCTGTGATACAGAGACGATGTGATGGTATCGTTTTAAAATGTAAGAGTCAGTTTAAATTGACCCTTTCACTACATATGATAAAACAAAATTAAAATATGACTTAATTAAACAAATGTATTATTTGAATGTAAAAAAAGTTCTTCTCTGTTGCTGGTATTTTGTGCTACTGTTTAAATCCCTACGAGGCTGAGGCATTGTGTCCGATAGTGACTTCACAACAACAACTTATCTCACTTTGAAATAATTAGTGTGAACCATGTGTGTCATGTGAATGTCTACTGACAACAACATGTTCGGGATGAAGTATGAAACCAAAGACCAAAGAATTTCTTGGTTTATACTCTTCCTGAATAGATTTTAAATAATAAATGAACAGATCCATTTTCTGTAAGTGAGAGTGAGAATGATTATTATTCATAAAAGACATAGTTATATACAAAGTTAGTAAAATGCTCAAAGAAGCTTGATATTTGCATGGGGATATACATATATGTAAAGCCTTCAGCAGATGCTGTTAATCAAACAAAAAACCCTAAACTTGATCAGATATGGCCTCATAAATAATTCATTATTTAAAGCATGTTTAAATTCTTTTGGCTCTTATGTAACTCACAATAGATTTTTGAACAATGGATTTGAGTAAGAACAATTCCAGTGCCATGCAAGGCTGACATCACAACTATGCCGAACTAGTGCTGGTCTATTTTTAGAGAAAACTGAAACAACTATTTCGCTCATGAATGAGGAAATGTGTTAAACACGTAGAACCACTGAACAGTTTATGATTACATATACACAGATCTTCTATCATTGCGATGCTATCAGTTACATGATGGCTTGCCTGAGTGGTTGTCATACACAAAAGAGAAGGAACATTTTGTAAATATATAGATTACTCTATATATCTCTATCTAATAAGAAACAAAAATACCTTTGACTATCTTTCCTCTAACTGTGGTTGCAGAGTCAAAAACAAAGTTTGGTGGCAAAGAGTTGGTTAAACTTAAGAAAGAGCTTTTTGTTTGTTTGAAGGGTGTATATGAAGGAGTTATTCACTTAGGTGTAAGCTGGATCTGAAATCTACTGAGGAACATTCTCAAACACAACACGGTTGGTTACAGCCAACAGTGTCATAAGAGAGCAGTGGAAATCATCCCGCTTCTTTTTGTCCTGTGCATTTCTGTTTTCACCTGCCTTGACTTCTACTGTTAGGTGATATTGTTATTTTATAAACATCAGTTATCATGGCAAGTATGAGAAAGTGAGTCTGAAGCGTTCAATTCCCCCGTGTATTTATTTTGATTTGATTTGATTTGAGTCATTTCTGCATGCACGTTGTTGCACTGGATTTTGGATAAAAAAGGATCTGCAGCCATTGAAGATTCACATATGTCGTGCTATTTAAAGGATAGTATCCAATAATCAAAAGTCAACATCGCTGATTAACGTTACACAACTGAATATTGCACATACAGTATCCCTTGGGTTTGTATACACAAACCTCTTTTTTTGCATGAATAAATAAAAAGAATTTGGAAATTGAACAATTTCAGTCAAGTGCTAAAAACAACAACAAAACTATGACAAATTACCATAAAATAGGATTTATATTTCTCTAAAACATTTAAGCTGCACAGATTCACCATCACCCTGAATTTAAAATAAAATATTTGGCAGCGTGGAGAACACGCTGCCAACTATAAGGACAAAGTCATGACTGCAATTTGTGCAGCCTTCTCAGCCACATTGTTAACACAGACAGTATAGTGGGGCGACTGTGGCTCACTGGCTTAAGAGGGTTTTCTGGTAACCGCAGGGTCAACGGTTCGATCCTTGACTGGGACGTGTCACGTGTTGTAGTGTCCCTGAGCAAGACACTGAACCCCCGGCTCCCTGGGCGCCTATCATTGGGCAGCCCACTGCTCCCCTATATACAGGGATGGGTCAAATGCAGAAGGCAAATTTCATGTATATGTATATGACAATAAAAAGGATTTCTATTCTATAGTTCATCAAGTTATCCTATCATGGTGTGTGACAGATTTGTTCATTGAAA